GTTCTGAGGCCATCCCTGGGGCAGAATTAAGATGAGGCAAATAAATAGAACTGGCAGGGTTTTCTGTCAGCCTTTTTGAGAAATGCAATTCGCATCTCCCCACTGCCTACCAAATGTTAAGGGCAGAGAAGGAAAGAGGAGTGAGCAGGCAACCTCAAAAAGAGCCAACAGCAGAAAGGGTTCCACCAAAGGAAGTCTCTCCATGAGTTGTGTGGCAGATTCCCAGGAAATTGCCCCTGACTTAGGGAAGTTACCTCAGGAAGCTTTGTGGTGAATAGCATCCCGTTCTGTCAACCAGAGACTTCAAACATATTATCAGGACTCTTAGCTTCAGTGCAATTTGCCTTGGACCAATTCCTATGGAATTGGTGTCTTTGCAACAATTTTGTAGCTGCAAAAGAAAATTTATATTGTATATCTAACAATCTGAAAAGAGAAGATGCCCTGATTCGATTTAGGAGTGTTGGAAAGACCTTCCAGGCACAGTGACAATTACAAACATTTGCATTAATACAGTATGTTGAATTTTCTTTCTACTAGGAAAAAGATGCCATTCTTCTAGGGTTTTAACCAATATGTGAATAATAAGATTGGGGGGAACTGAGAGGAAACTGCTTTAATATACCGCCTTCTCTCACCCCATATTAATCTGCTATAGCTAAAGACACTGCATCTCATTCATTCTCGCATTTGTAACTCCTCTATTTAATCTCTTGACTGTCCCTAGCATCCAAATTGTAGCTTCACAGGCCACCTGAAGAGGGCGCCACAGATACCTGAGAGTTGGTTATAAACTCACATCAAAACTAACCCTTAAAGTTGCATCCTTTACAATTAAGTCTATTTTTATCTGCACTCTTCTTATAGCACACAAAGGCAGATGGTGAGAAAACAAGTCAACGTGAGATTTTTTTTTTTTTTTTAAACCTCAGGAGAGAAATGTGACAGAAAGGAGGAGTGTTGACAGCCCCAGACCAGCACAATGACAGTGTGGAGGTTTAGGCCCTGGGACTGCTAATAGGTCTTGAACGTGGATGAATATTGGGTTTTTGTTCATTAAGTTATATTTACAAAGACAGGGAAGTGGTCTCAGATATCGCAGAATGATTTTAGACAAGAAGGATTTTCTGCCTTTTATTCTTAGTTAACCAGAATCCTTTCCTATTCCCCTTTCAAAATTTCTGCTTCTTCTATTCTTTTCCCATAGTTTGTACCAGCATTTGCAGGATCGGAACAAATACCTTCTGTGAATGGCATTTTGGGATGCATGACAAAGCATTAGTAGATGCACATTACCCTCTTAAAACTTGCTCAGGTTTTCTTTCTTTCTCTTCCTAATCTCTCTCTCTGTTTCTCTTGGCAATGCTGGAGAAAGCTGCTGCTGCTTTCTCTGATGTGACAGATAGTAATGATAGTTCTCCATTCTGTCTTCTGACAGTCAAAAGAAACCTTGGAGCTAGACACAGACAGGGAGGGAAATAAATCTTATTTAGGTGCTGCCAACACTATGAATTTTATTAAAGGACATTGACTTGTTCTACACGAAAAGCCTTCCACTGGCAGCTGAGATGGAATCAGTGGGGAAAGTGCTTTCATATCTTTCCCTTCTTTGCGGAGGAGAACTTTGCTGTCAGACTCTGTATGTTTAATTAACACATTAACTTGAATGGCTGAGAGTTAGTTTTAGTATAATGCCAGGCTGGACAATTAATTTCTTAGGGAGAAAATGTTTGAAGTTGTAGGTGGGGTACACAGAGCCATGTTGTCTTAGGGTGAATGTGCAAGACTCTACTTGCAAATCTTTAGGAGTTTCAAATGCAGTGATATTTATAGACTTAATTTTAAGATATTAGACTATAGCCATGTATCCTTGGAAGCAAAGCTTATTCCTCTAATTCCATAATCCATCTGCTGAAAAACCTGAGTTCCTTACTATGTAGATTTATGACAGGGGGCTTAACTTGGTGTAGAACCAACCCCCCCACACACACATTATCTACTGTGCTCTAGGCATCTATACATACAGAAGAATGGAATTCATGACATCTAAAAACATTGCAATCATTAAAAAAGCAAGAGTATTCTCAGATACTTTAGCATGATTTTATATAGGAAGAAGTTCCTACCTTACATTATTAGAAGGCTCTCTTTAAATATGACTAAAAACTAAATATAAATATGGGATCTGTAGTTCACTAGTATCTGTTGTTGAATCACAGGTCTTCGGAGATGAGGCCAGTGGGAATCTTCATGGGTAGGTGAAGGTTTATAAAGAAGGCAGCCTTTGATGTGGCCTGAAAGAAAACCTGGCATCAAGGCAGACAAGGCTTGAAGGAACCTGTGGCAGGGTGGTCGGCCTGGGTAAAGGCAGAGGAGGGGAATGTGCCTAGGTGGGAGTAGGAGGATGAGAAAGCCCACCCACTAAGACCAAAGGGTACCTTTCCAGAGGTAGAATTGGAATGGATGTCACTGAGCTGAATGAGAGAGGCTTGGTTTATTGAATTGTTTTGTATACCCACTGCTCCAGGGACCTCTAGATGCTCACAAATAACAAAGCAGCCTTTTGAAGATATGAACAAATATCATGGGACATACCTGACTGGTCCACAGGCTCTGAATCCAAGCCTAGGTGATAAATTTACAAAGACAGGGAAAAAATAAAAAACACAGATGCTGGCACCCAACGATCCTTCACAGAGATGAATTATCTGTGGGAACAGGGATGGCAATTCCTGGGAGTAACCGTATGAGCCCTTAGAGTTTATATATGATTTTTACAGGATCTACGTGAGTCTAGGCTTCATACACGGAATTATTATTTTGAACCCTCTTGACTCTGTTACGTTTGTATTGCATGTAAACATAGATATTTACGTGGTTTTGCATATAGACATAGGCATACTACAGTGGTGTGAACTCTCTTCACCCTAAGCTCATATGAAGAAGGGTAGGTCTAGGTTTAAAAAAACAAATAGAACAGGTAAAAGGGAAATTTGGAGCTGGAGTGTGAAGCGGTCTCGTTGGTCTCCCTGGTTCCATGTCCTGAGCTGCTTTCCTCAGCCATACGCTTCCGCCATGATGTTCTGCCTTGCCTCCCGCCCAGAGCAATGTAGCCGGCCATCTGTGAACTGAGACCTCTGAAACCATGAGCCCCAAAATAAACTTTTCCTCCTCTAAAATGTTTCTTGTGAGGTCTTTCGGTCACAGCAGCAAAATGCTGACTAAAACAAGGGGATGCTTCCAATGACCTCAGCAACTTCCAGGAGGCCTCACGGCTCAGAGGTTCCAGTGCTTCTCAGTGGGGTCCCTCTGGGATCAATCCTTTGACACATGGGATTTGGGGAGACATTCAAGATCCGAAATCTAATGATGAGCAAAGAAAAAATAATACAATGTGCATTGAAATAAAAAGTCACAGATTCTCCTTGCCTGGATGCTCCAACACTCTCCAGCTGTATCTGATGGAGCTGCTCATCTTAGTAGCATCCTCTGTGGAGTCAGGCTGTGTTCTGATCAAATGGACACAATGTCATAGCAGGTTCCTTAAAGGGTCAGTAAATATTCTCTTGAGATGCATTGTTCCTCGGTCACGCCTGGTGCATCTACAGCCGTGGTGAGTCACTTGGTGAGTCATTTGACCCTCCCCTGAGTGTCGAGGCTGGGCAGAGATGAGCAAGCTGGGCGGTCACGGTGCTCAGTGCAGTGTGACTCACCAGTCACTCTGTGGGAGCCTGCAGATACCGTGGTGGAATACTGAGGGGCAGGTGCATTACAGACCAGGAACACAGCAGAAAAGAGATGCTCTGAATGACCTTTTCCAAATCAGTAACAAAGTGCCCATGGGAACTGGGGTTCAAAGAGCAACGAGATGCCATCAGAGGATGCTTTTCAGGGCAGAAAAAAATCACAGTATGAAAGAAAGACTACCAGAGCAGGAATGTCAAGGAGCAATGAGGAATAAGCCATAAAAAAAGGAAAAAGACATTCTGAGAGATGAACTATATGAGGGCCAATCCCCATCGTGAGTAGGGACTCTGTGCAGTTGCCCTGGGTGAGTACTAAAGCAGTGTAGCAAGTGGATTTTAAATCTCACCAGCTGTGGAGCCATCTGTAAAACAGTCAAAATAATTTCATTTATCAGAGCGATGCATTAACACAAAATGCATGCTAAGCACTTGATTCTGGTAAAAGCTTAGTCAATATGGAGTGCTGTTTTATAACCTGAGGTTCCTTTGGTGACTCATAAAGACCAGCATTGGCTCCTCCTTGCTGCAGGATCAAGTCTGGTCTCCCTAATGTGACGTTCAGAGCTTCTTCCACGTTGCCCTCAACATGCTCATCTGCACTCATTTACATAAACCAGGCTTGTTCATCCAGGGTCCCTGCCCACCTCACCACTTTGACCCATGCCGCTCCCCTGTGAGTAATGCTGTTTTTGTTAGTTTGAATCCTGCCATTCACTCATGTCCCAACTAGTTCTCCACTAAGTCTGTGAAGCATCCCTTGCCAACTCTTGGCCCTTCCTTTATCCTGGGGGACAGGCCTTGCCTTTCTATCACTTTAGTCAGGTACAGGTTACACTGAGCTAAGTCTACATATTCCACCTTCCAGTCTCCACAGTGTTGTGGATGCCAAGTCAAGTGGGACCCCAGACTTTATCTCCAGGCAGAACATGGTATGGATTTCAATTCTTTCTGGCATGTGATTTCTAACAAGTCAACTAACCCTTCTGAGCCCCGGTTTTCTCAACTCTAAAAGGTATTTGTTAATATCTATCTTGTAGAATTTATGTGAAGAATAGAGAGAGTTATTGGAACACTTGGTTGGCATGTAGCAGGTGCTCAATGAATGGCAGGTATTATTATTAGTGATTTAAAAGTGAAAACTGTTGCTTGTGCATTTGGTGTACCCTAGGGCTCATGATATCTCTCTCTCTCTCACTCTCTCTCTCTCTCTCTCTCTCTCTCTCTTTCTCTCTCTCTCTCTCTCTCTTTTTACAGTTATACAGCTCTGCCGAGTTTGGGAGAAGATGGCAGCTTATCCAAGAAGGGGTGGTACCAAATCGGTTCTACTGGTAAGTCTCACCTTACCCTCTGGCACATTAAGATACTGTGTAGTAAATGAGCATTGGAATTCCCGCCTTCTGAGAGCAGGTGTGACACTGGGGCAGTCAACATTGTTGGGGAATGTTAAAAGTTGTGTCACAAATTTCTTCATAAGCCCAAAATGGGTCATTGAAATTAGAAAGCTGTGGGGACTTTGTATGTGATGCTGTGTTATGTTTTGATGAGTCTATGAGAAAGACATTTTGAAAGAAATAGTGATTTTTATTACTAAAAAGCATTTTATACATATAATGGCATATTCCAATAAGTAGGTCTTACTTAGTGTGAATGTAGATCTTTTCATTCCTCATTTCAGGTCCTTGGAACTTCCTGCAGTCTGGGACACAGTCAGTCATCCTAGTTTCTTGTTTAGCCTTCCAGAAATAGTCTTTGAATTACCAAGCATATATACTTAGATAGTCTTACTTTGCTCAGGCTGCTGTAACAAAATGCCACAGACTGGAGATTTAAACAGAGTCCTGGAGCCCAGAAAGCTCGAGATCAAGGTGCCTGCAGGTTTGGTTCCTGGCAAGGTCCTCCTCCTGGCTCCCAAATGGCTACCTTTTGGCTGTATCCTCACATGGTGGAATGCAGGAGAGCTCTTCTTTCTCTTGTTGTTCACCTGTGGACACTAATTTCATCATTTAGACTTCACTTACATGACTTTACCTAACTCTAATGATCACCAAATGCCCCACATCCAAGTATTATTACAACAGTCAACAGTCGAGGTGAGGGCTTTAGCATGTGAATTCGGGATGATATAAATATTCAGCCCATAACCTACACAAATACAGGTATTTGCATTCATATAAATGCTGCTTATTCACAAGGATCTATCTGTGCCTCGCTTGTTAGAGTATATTGTTATCTATTGTGTTTAAAATAGTTACATATCGTTTTATTTTAAGAATATATATGGAAGATGAATCATAACACTATTGAAAAAATATACATATTTGGGCACAGTAGAACATGCCTGCAATCCCAATGATTTGGGAAGCCGAAGCAGGAGGATTGCAAGTTTGAGTCCAGCTGGACAATTTAGTGAGACTGTCTCAAAATATGAAGTAATAAAGGGCTGGGGATGTAGCACAGTGGTAGAGCGCCACTAGGTTCAAACCTCACACCATGAAAAATTAAAAAAGAAAATAAGCTACATATGTTGGTGGGATGTATATATGGTAAACAAGAGATACGGGAGCAGGGAGGAGAGGCGGGGAAAGAACAGCATGAGAAATAAAGAAAGCAAAGAAAACAGTGGGGTTTTTTGCTTGTTTTTTGTTTGTTTTTAAACCTTCCTTAGTTAAATTAGCAGTGATCTCTGTGGGAATGGGTGGCTGAACTTGAACTCAAAAAGAAGGGAAATAACATAATATTGGCTTTTGTGTTTCCGAGGGCCTGGATCCTAGCAAAGTAAAAGCAAAGTTTGGAACATTTTATTGTAATTTTAATATTAACTTATCAATACCTTTCAAATTTACATTCACACTTCTGCCAAAATATGTGCTTCCCTGGGCCCCAGCTTGGCTAATCTGACTGTGGAAAAATCATCTGCCGTGTTTCCAGGCCTTTGCTGCTGTAAACAGGGCTACAAGTGACCTGCTCAGACCAGTGTAATATCCCCTGGCCTCCTGCTCACATTGTCCAGAATCATCTGACAGTGACCTTTAAGGAGAATGAGCTCCCTGCAACCAGGGCAGTGGAAGGACCTCCCTGCCCTCTCCTGGGGCCACGCTGCCTCCAAGGACAAAACATGCAGATGGCCTCCATGAGGCACATAACTTCTCCCACCTCCATGCCAGCTCCCCTCCTTCTAGAGGAACTTCTAAGAGGAATGCATTTTTATCTTTCTCATTTCCAAACACTGCCCTAACATTCCTGTGGGAGTTGAGAGCCAGAGAACTGCATTAGAGAAATCTCTTAAAAAGCAAATGAAACTGCCCGGAAAAGTGAAAGACAAGCCATTTGCAAATAAACTGCCTCAGAGATCACACAGAGGGACTTCTGTATGGACTGATACCATTTCCTCCCCTGTGGCTGCAGTCAGCCTTTGAGCTTCTGTGACCAAAAGACCTGACAAGAACAATTAGAGGAGGACAGGTTTATTTGGGGGTTTACTGTTTCAGAGGTCTTTCTCCCTTGATGGCCCCACTCCATTCTTTGGGGCCCGAGGTGAGGCAGAACATCATAGTGGAAGAGCATGGTGGAGGAACATGGCTCAGGACATAGCACCAGAAAGCAGAGAGACCCAGACTCCCCTCACCGTAGACGGAGTATATACCTCAAAGCATTGTACCTAAGGACCTTCCTCCTCCAGCCCACTCTACCTGCCTGGAGTTACTATGTAGTTAATCCCTGTCAGAAAATTAATGTACTGATTAGGTTAAATCTCTCATAACCCAGTCATCTTAAGGGAATATTACTCAGCCATAAAGAAGAATGACTTTAAACTATCATGTTAAATAAGACAATCCCCCAAAACCAAAGGTCAAATGTTTTCACTAATATGTGGAAGCTAACTCACCTCTAAACTTTGTCGCATTGTCTCACACATGAGTTTTTGGTTTGGGGGCACACTTCACATTTAAACCATAAAACACCTCTCAAAATGAAATTTTTCTACCCAAAGAAACCTTTGCTACAAAGAAGCTACTCACCTCTTTCCTGCTGCTCCTCTTGATAAGGGAGACCTGAGACCTGACCCCTCCCAGGGCCAGAAATTCAGCTGTGCTGCTTCCACAGGTTCCCTCCTCTGGTTAGCATCCCACCCTCTCTTATTCA